CTGATGAGATATAACGTGGATTTCGCGAGCGACAGCTATGAAAAACAGCAAGGTCGATTGGGAGAGAGCTCGTCGGAGGGGGACAGAAAATCGATTAACTGTAATGAATTATTTTTGTAGGGCGCACTGTAGCTGTCCACGCCGAACGTGTGCCCAGCGCCAAAGCCCCGTTGTAAGTAGCACCGTCCGTGCCGCTGTTCTGCACACATTATATTTTTTGGTTCCCAAACGTGCCGTTGGCACAGACACTTCAACAACGGCCCTGCGCGCTTGGCAATCTTATGGCTCCTGCCCACTGGACGCGGCAACGTTACCGCGTCCAGTGGGCAGGAGCCATTAGTTTTTCGTTGCTGCGCTAATTACTCGCCAACTCTCGAGACCCCGAGACGCAGGCGGAGTGAGAGAGATTAAGGTGCACCCTTGCCTTTGCAGATGCAGAAGGTACAAGGCGAACCACTGTTGGATAAGCCAAGCGAGACATATACGTTCGACCGCGGCGCTATGTAAGTACAGCGCGTCTTATCTCCGAGATCCAGGTCGAGCCCGCTCGTATGTAACTTGCGTTATCTCAACAGGGGAGATCAGGGAGGTCGTGGTGCCGCCGTTCGCCGAGAGCGTGAGCGAGGGCGACGTGAGGTGGGAGAAGAAGCACGGCGACCAGGTGAAGGAGGACGACGTGCTCTGCGAGATCGAGACAGACAAGGTAAAGCATCCAGTTTCCCCGCTTCCTCCTCGGTCGTAAAGCGAGAGGGGTGTAATCGCGATTGTTACGAGGAGAATTTGCCCGTAGACTTCGGTTCCCGTACCGTCGCCCGGGTCCGGCGTCGTAAAGGAGCTCTTCGTTAAGGACGGCGACACGGTGAAGCCGGGACAGAAGCTGTGCAGCATCGACATCGGCGCGACCGGCGGCGCCGCGCCCGCGGCGAAGGAGTCGCGGCCCGCCGCGGCTGCTCCGGCGCCGGCGAAACCTGCTGCCGCGGCACCGCCAACGCCTCCGCCCGCTCGACCGGCACCTTCGCAGGCGCCTGGCGCGTCAATGCCGGTCGCGGCTATCAAACACGCTCAGGTAAATAAGGCCCGTGACGCCGTTGCGTCACGTGACTTGCGAGCATTTATGTGAGAACGGCGTCGCTTTCAGTCGCTGGAAGGCGCGAAGGTTCAGCTACCTCCTACCGATTACGCACGCGAGATAATCGGCACCAGGACAGAACAGCGAGTGAAGATGAATAGGATGCGACTGCGTATCGCGGAACGTTTGAAGGATTCGCAGAACACGAACGTTATACTGACTACGAATAATGAAATTGATATGAGGTGACTTGAAGGATCGCTTATTAGTGAGAAAATAGTACCTGAATACCGGCTTCGTATTCTTCTGCCTTTCATTTCACGTTTATTATGAATTTGCAGTCGCATTATGGAATTCCGAAAGACGCACCAGGACTCATTCAGGAAAAAGTACGGTATCAAACTTGGGTTCATGAGCCCGTTCGTCGCGGCCAGTGTCTACGCTCTGAAAGACCAGCCCGTGGTGAACGCCGTGATAGACGGCACCGACATCGTATACAGAGATTACGTAGACATTAGCGTGGCGGTCGCGACGCCGAAGGGGCTCGTCGTGCCGGTTCTTCGCAGCGTGGAGAACAAGAACTTGGCCGAGATCGAGATCGCGCTGGCCGCCATGTTCGAGAAGGCCAGGAAAGGGAAGATCACCGTCGAGGATATGGACGGCGGTAACTTCACGATAAGCAACGGCGGCGTTTTCGGCTCGTTGCAGGGCACCCCCATCATCAATCCGCCGCAGAGTGCGATTCTCGGCATGCACGCCGTCATCGACAGACCGATCGCCGTTAAGGGAGAGGTAACTTTCGTCGAAATTCGCGTCGTGATCCTTTTCAATTCTTCGATTGGAGGAACCCTTCGTTTCTCGTTTCTTTGATCTCTTCAATCCTGTAATTTACGAGCCTTTAATTTGAAGCCTACGACTGCGTCGCTTAACAACTGCGTCTGAATTCCCCAGGTTGTTATTCGGCCAATGATGTACGTGGCTCTTACGTACGATCATCGGCTGATCGACGGACGCGAGGCTGTCATGTTCCTGAGGAAGATCAAAGACGCCGTGGAGGATCCTCTAGTTATCTTGGCTGGTCTTTAATAACTTGGGATACGTTTCATTTATCTTGTGTTCATTTATCTCTCTACATACTAAGTATTTCGTACGAATCCACTCCGCGTGCTGATAACGGCGTTATCTCGCGACGTCTCTGATCGCCGTGTTCTGCGTCGTCAGGCCGCGGCTTTATCCGCGACGATGCGCGAGTGCTCTCTTAGGCCCATTGTAAGATACATTGTATATACATCGCTCAATACTGTGTATTAACGAGAAACCGCATATAAAGCACGCTGAGTAAACATCGAATCTCGTTTCATTTTGACGGTGCCGCGTTGGTGATTAATCGCGACGATTAATCGACAGTTAAAATGATGATCTATTAGAATTTATGCGAGTGAGTTACGGTCTTCGAGTCGATTTCTTTGTAGAATTTTTCGTGATCTCGGAAAACGAGAAAGCACGAACGATCCTCGCCGGCTTCTTGGCGCGATCGTAATCGTTTCTCATGTCCGAAGATTGAGAATATTTTGCGCGTTTAATTCTGTTCGGCTAATAAATATGATGTTACGTATGCGAAGTAGCCCGGGAAAGCGCGAATCTGGGATCAGCCTGGCAGCGTGTTCCCGTGAGCCCGCGTCGCTGGTCCATTCCTCGAGTGGAAATTGATCCAATCTTATTTTGCAGCCAACGACCGTGTCACTGCTTGGCATTCGAAGAGGGATTCTCGGATAGGAAATAATCGCGTTTACGAGGCGCGAAGACGCGCGAAAACACCCGCTCCGTTCGATCGTGCCGCGCCGAGTGACGCGAGACAATAGACCGTTTTCGACCGAGGTATTTTTACGGCGCTACGTCATTGCGTGGAATCCGGCGCCCGGTGCCTTCGACCGAGTTGTTTACAACGCTCGGTCTATGACGCTACGTCATTTCTCGGAATCGCTGCTCGGCGAAAACAAGTCCCGGCGTACGCAAAAAAAAACCATTTACACGGCGACAGTCGTACTAGTCTGTCACGTCCGCGCCGGTTCACACGTCGCATTCTTTCCCGATACGCGTTCGCGACGAGTAAGGAAACCGCGATCGCTCTCTGCGAATAATCGGTGACTGGATATCGTCGCGTGATCGACTCATTCACGCGAGATCTAGAGCTTCGTACGTCCAAGACTCGAAGCCGCCAGCTAACTTGAAATTACGCCTTCGTTGCGACAATTGCTTGTTCAACCGAGGCTCGTATTCACATTTTCGTATCGTCGCTTCGACGTACAACTTGTTGGCTGTTTGAAAACGCGAAATAATACGTGAGCTATTGCGTTTTCGAGCTTCTCGTTTATTAACGGAAACGTATAATCTTGATATTTGTCTTTTATTAACGGACACATACAAGTGCAGAACTTTGAGTCGAATTTTATCGCGGTACGTTAATTGAAGAATTAATTGTCAATTAATCTTATCCGTGCTTAATTATATCGTAATATTGACTCATCGACGGTTCAAATTGACACAGTGATTTCTGTTGAGTGAAATTCGTGCCCTCGGATAAAACAAGGAATACCGAGTGCGAGTAGTTAACCTCGTGCAATCGTGAATTTTTCGCGCTTCTTTCCTGTCGCGTGTGAACAATTCTGTGTTATATGGTGTTGTATGTACAAAGTGCCACGAAGTCTCGGTCATCCCATTCTTCAAGACCAGGCTACGAAACGTAAGTACACGTTTGATATGAGTTTGATTACGGGAAGTTAAATATATACATATGAACGATTCCCTCTTACATTCGGTAAAAAATTCGTTAATACTGAAGGAGATTATTATATACTTTTGATCGCGGGATTTCGAATCTCTGTGTTTCGTCGACTTTTCACGATGTCGCGATATCGGAGTTTGCTGCACACACGGCAATGTTTATTCCCTGCCGGAAATAATTTCGACAAAATTCTACAGGAAAGTTCAATGTAACTGCCAAAATCTAGGAAATTCTACGTGAATTTGAAAAGTATTATAAAAACGCTAGAACTGAAACACCTTTGTTAACTTTTGTAACATTCTAGAGGCAGGCGGACGTTTGATTTCTTTAAGATTTTGGCGTTTCTCAAATTTTTAAAAAACCGGTAAAGTTTTGTACTAATTTTCACAAAATTGTACACTTTCGTGAAATACTATATGTATAATTAATTTCTTAATTCGAGAACATTGTAACTTGTGGTGCTGTTTCGTAGATATTTTTACAAAAAAGAAAAAATTAACGTTTCAAGATATAAAAATCTCTACAACTTTCAAGTCAATTTTTTCTAGCTATTCGTAGAAGTTTACCTCCGCTAGGATTGTCGCGCAAATATGTCGGTCGATAAGAGCCCGCACTTAGCACTCGCGAGGGGGGGCAGGAATCTTCCCTACCGTACGTCGAGAAGGAAGGACCCGCGGCACGTCACGTAGCTTCGCGGAGTCGGCTGCAGAGGCGCCCGCGCGCGCTGTCCGACGGCGAGAGTCCGTTGGAATATCGTCGGGTACAATCAGTCCAGCGCTTCAGTCGCATCGAATCGGCCGCGGGAGGTGCTTCGACGCGCGTACGCCACGCTCCCATCTCGCGCTCGCGCTCGCGGTGCAGCCGTACGTGAGGTACGCGGTGCCGTGTATGCGTCGCACGTGCACACATACGCGCGCGCTCGTACGCACACGTAAAAATACATATGTGCGTTTCGCGCTGTGATACGAGCCGAGTGGCCGAGCGTGCATGTGCCGGGAGCACCGCTGGATGTACGTGATCGCCCGGACGCGCCGCTGATCGCCGTCTCTGACCTCTCTCTCTCTCTCTCTCTTTCCCCTCGCTCTCTTTCTCCACCCCTTATTCTTCTCTCCTCTCCTTGTTCCTTCTCCTTCCCTTCCTCGTCCTCTCTCGTCTACCTCCTCCACGAACGCACCAAATGTTCGCGCCGCATGCCCCGAGTGCCCGCAGCACCGCCGCCGCTCGCTTTCGTCGCCGTCGTCGTGCCGTCTGACGGCGCGTCCGCCGTTCGGCAAACGATCACCGCGTTCCGATACGGTGGATGACTCCGCCGGGTACGAATCTGTAAAAGACCAGGAGGTAGACGCAGAAGAGGAAGAAGAGGAGAAGAAGGCGCGGGAGTGCAAGGGGCGCGATAAGCGGAGGAGAGAGACTATTTTCACGAGCGCGCGCGCGCGCTCGCGGAACGTCCTCCGGCCACGCGCGCGAATTTCCCTCGCGGCTTTCCCCCCGGGTTCCCCCTCCTCTCTCTCTCTCTCTCTTTCTCTCTCGCCCCGCGTCTCTCGGGCACCGGGGCCATTTTGCCGAAATGATGAAAATAACACCGCGAGCCGCCTCGCGCGGACTGCCCGCGTCCTCGCTCCTGCTCGCGGTCCTCGTCTGGTGCCACTGCGTGTGCTCGATCGCGCACGCGAAATCGCACCACCTGAGGACGACGTCCAACGACACCGAGCAAGCCGTCGACTGCGAGCTCGTCAGGCCGTTCTTCGACACCAAGAACATCACGCTCGCGCCGGCCGCCGCGGACTCCCCGAAAAGTAAGTGGAACCAAACTTCGCACGTCCGACGGGAGAGAGGAAAGAAAACGCAGCGCTCCCCCCCGTGTCGTCGTTGTCGCACGTTGACTCGCGCTCTGTTTATCAACTGCACGCGTTGGGGAGATTCCATTTCCGGGCGGATCGTCCCTGCGCGCACGCGGCCGGACGGAGAGTCACTGTCGGACAGTAACGTCAAAATCAGGTGATTCTGACATTTCTGTCAGACGGACGCGCCGAACATCGCGCTGAGAAAACGGCCGGGAGGGAGGGGGACGGGCAGATGCCTCTCCGACGCTCGCATTCGGCCGGATATTCGAGATCGACCGAATAAAATAATTTTTAAAAGACGTTGTCGATTGAGACAATTTAGGCGGTAATTTTAGGTATACGTTGACGCGCAAATGTGATAAATAAGTACACGCGATAGTGAATATGGATATCGCACACTGTTTAACTTTACAGTGTCATATTCTCGCATACTCAGTGTGTTGTTACTTTTAACCGTCGTGTGTAAAATTTGTTGTTTCAACACGAATTGTAGCTGAAACAATAAGACTCAAGACCGTCCCAAGTTTGTCTTGAGATGCTGCATAAAATATCTCACTGGCCACGGAGTGTTTCAAGACGATTTTGAACGCGAGATTTGACCGAATATCGTCTTGAATTTTCTACTCAATCCATTTATGGTTTCTTTCAACTCCGTTGTAAAATTGATTGTTTCAACACAAATTGTAGCTAAAAAAATAACCACCGGTATTCGTGGTCTTATATTCAAGACCGACTCAAGTTTATCTTAAGATGCTGCATAAAATATCTCAC